TGACCTCGGGCTGCAAGGGCCAGATTGAGTTCCCCAACCTCCTGAATGGTTGAACACCACACTGTTCTACTACAGGTTTCCCACGCCCTTTTTTTTTAAAGATGTTCAAAGTTGGGAACTCAGAAAAATACCCTTTATGACCACCTCTGCCTCTGCAGAGTGGGTCCAAAGACTGGCACAATCAGGAGGTTTGAGAGTACGTGTGGGGGGCAGGGAGGTAAGGGGAGTTATGGGAGTTTAGGGATGCCCGTGTGGCTACCTTCCTGATGCTGGAGCGATGGCGGCTCCAGGCGGGAGAGGGCGTGGCTCTCCTTCCCGCGGTGGATTGGGACCCAGGCTACCTTCCTGATGCTGGAGCGATGGCAGCTCCAGCCCTGTATTCATCTATCTTAACCAAAGAGGTTTATTTTAGGAATACAAAGCTGGTTTAACATCTCAACATCTGTATAATATACTATATAATAAAATAAAAGATAAAGATCCTAAAGATTATCTCAGCAGCAGAGAAAGCATTTAACACAATCCACTATCTACTTACAATAAAAACTCTCAGGATAATAAAAATAGAAGTGGACTTCCTTTACTTGACAGTGCACATCTGTGAACAGCATTTTTAAGGTTAAGAACATTAAGATGGAATGGTCTCTACCTAAGATCATGAACATCCCAGTGATCTCTTATGTTCAACATTGTACTGGAGGTCTATGAAATAAAGGGTATACATTTGGGAGAGGAAGAAATTCCCAGATAATAACCTAATTGATATTCTAGTAAGTGAATTTCACAAGGTTATAGGGTATAAGATCAATATATGCAGTTCAGCTGTATTTCTGTGTACTACTAATAGACAAAATGAAATTTGTAAAACAATCTTAATTCACATGAGCATAAACAAATCAAATAAAACAGGATAGAGAACTGTTAAATGTTACTGAAAATTAAGGAATACCTGATTAAATGGAGAATTATACTGTAGCTGTGGATTTGAAGATGTAATATTATCCAGATGGCATTCTTCCCAAATTTTTCTGTAGATTAAATGCAACCTGACCGTATTCTCAGAGGACTTTTTTTTTCTTTTTTTGCTCAATAGTAGGGATTGAACCTGGGGCCTTTGCACTGAGCCACATCTACAGCTTCCCTCTCCCTTTTTTCCCTTTTATTTTTTGAGATAGGGTCTCACTAAGTTGCCCACACTAGGCTTGAACTTTGCTTTTCTTACCTCACTCTACCAGAGTACTGGGATATAGGCATATGCCTCTATTACCTAATTTCAGAGGACTTAACAAAAAAAAGAAAGAAAAAAAAAGAAATTGGTAAGCTTATTGTAGTATTTAAATTGAAATTCAGAGAACCTAGAATTTAAAAAATGATTTAAAAAGGAAGAACAAATATAAGGAATTGCATTGTTTAATTTAAGACGTTCCTATGGCCCTATAGCAATCAATACAGTATAATATGGTATTAGGGTAGATGAATATGGATGAAACATTGAGAGTTCAGAAATGGATCTGAACCTATTTGGTCAGCTGGTTTACAACAAAGGTACCAACATTATCTGAAAAAATAATAGTGTTTTTTTTTTTTTAAATGAATGGTGCTGAAATATTAACCAGTCTATGGCCATACCACCCTGAACATGTCTGATCTCCTCTAAAATACTGGATAACCATTTCCTTATATAAGACTACAAAATTAATGAAATGGATCTTAGACCTAAATGTAAAAGGCAAGTCATGAGATTCTAGAACATTTTTTAGGAGAAAACTATAACCTTTGGTTAGGCAAAGATTCCTTAGGGCACGAAAGGCATGAACTATAGAAGAAAACTGCTAAATTGGACTTTATCAAAATGTAATAGTTTTGCTAATGGGTAGGCACCTCTAGAAAATGAAAAGGCAAGCTACACATTAGGGGAAAATATTTGCCCTTCTGATAAAGGATTGGTATCTAGAATGTATAAAGGACTCAGTAAGACCTTCAGTGTAATTTTAAAAAAAGGAACAAAAAATTGAATAGGAACTTTTATAAAAGAATATTTGCTGCTGGTGATAAGCATATGAAATGCTACTGAACATCTTGTTGAGGGAAATGCACATTAGATAAAGACAAAAGAATATATGAGATCAAAGGGAAAGATTTATTAGCTTGTTTCAGGATAGTACTGGCTTAAAAACTCAAATCTGCACAGTCTATCGCCACTTCTAATTTTGTATTTGTGACTGTACAAATACACATTAATATTCCATAAAATACCTTTAATTCAATATATTTTAACAAACTTTCCTCCTTTTAGAAATTAACATATAATTGAATGTACTTTCGGAGTACAGTATAATCATTCAAGTCAGAATAATTTGCATTTCCTTAAACATTTTTCATTTAAAGTTAATAGAATGCCTCAAAAATTGTTTGTCATCTTTGAGGAAAGGCCATTCTAATCATTTTTATATTATTCCAGTTGTCATATATGTGCTGTGAAAGCGGGTACCCTTTCCTTTTTTTTTACTTTTTTGGTACCAGGGATTAAACTTGGGACCTTGTGCTTATGAAGCAGGTGGCAGAAGCACTGAGCTAAATCCCCAGCCCCTACCCTTTCCTTTTTAAGTCTCATTCTTTCCCATTCATATTATCACAATGATATTAGACTCAAGATCGTGAAGTCATTTATTGTTCATTCTTCAAGCAACTGTTTGTCACATTTACACCTAACTAATTACCTGCATGTAGGTGGAGGTATCAAGTAAGTGGTTGGAAATCACAGGAGAGGTTGTGGCTGGAGATACAGGTTTAGCAATTGTGAATGACTAACTGGTATTTAAAGCTGTGTGTCTGGATGAGATCACTTGGGTGGGTGTGCAAGGATACATACAATAAAAGAGGTCATGTGACTGACCCGAAGGTAGTAAAGCTAAATCAAGTCAGCTGATAAGAATGGAGTGGGATAGTCGGGGAAAATGTGTTTCAGAGGACAAGTCAGGATATTGTGGGAAGAGGTGAGCTGTTCTCTGTGACTATTATTAGGTCAAATCACATGAACACGAAGAAATAACTATTGGATTTGGCAATGTGAAGGCCATTGACAAAATTATTTGCAGTGGAATAATGGGAATGATAACCTATCTGAAGTAGTTAAAAGAGCAAATGAAAAAAGTAGAGACAGAAAGGATATAAAGCTTTTTTTGAGAACTTAATATATACTGAAGAATATTAGATGACAACCAGGAGGTTATGTGAAGCCATAGGAGGTGTCTTTGATTTATTTTGAGATGGGAAATTTTATAGCAAGTTTGTAAACTAATGGCGATTATTTAGGAGGTTTATAGCAAGTTTATAAACTAATAAGGATTACTGAGGAAAAGCAGGGAAAATTAACCATATGGAAGAGAGAAGGGAGGGACAGTCTGCCTTTATAAGTCGGTAGAAGTAGGATTGAGTGCACAGATGAACAGAAGGGCCTTTGGTAGAAGCACAGTATTTATGTGTAGTGACAGGAAGGAAGGTGTTGGTACATTCAGATGTCAGCTTTTACTAAGTACAATTACTATTCTATGGAAATAAAACAAAAAGTTCATCTAAGAGGTTAAATAGACATGAATAGTTTAGCCAGTTGTCTCTTTTTATATTAACATCTTAGTGTTTGTTATATACTATGTTGTACTATTTAGTACTCGTTACATCAGAATGTGATACTGAGCCGGGCATGGTGGCTCATGCCTGTAATCCCAGCACTCTGGAGGCTGAGGCAGGAGGATCACTGTGAGTTTGAGACCAGCCTGGGCTACATAGTGAATTCCAGGTCAGTCTCAACTACATAGTGAAACCCTGTCTCAAAAAACCAAAAGAATAAAATAAAAAACAATGTGATACTGAAATTTGAGTCGAGTACTGTATTACTAAAAATAGATATTTTGTTTGTTATATTTGAGTTAAAATGATAATGACCAAATCATAGGACCATATAATTTATTTTTGGAGCCTTCTGTATAATTCTTTGAAAATTCTTGCTTTCTCCCTGATTCTCTTTGGCATAGTTGTATTTCTTTTTATTCCTTAGTAGAAGACAAAGTGATGTTATAATCTAACAAATTAAGTTGGAGTTCTTAACTGTTAGCTCATGCCAGTTTCTATAGCCCTTTGCACGGTAACAAGTTGCCTCCAGACTTTATTATCTACCATGGTACTGTTTCCAATGGTAAACCTTGTTATTTTTTATGTTTCATTTCTTTATGATAAAGCAGATCAGATAATTCGGGACAAAGGTAGATAAAAAGTCCTGAAAAGATTTGAAGGCTGCACTTTTAGCTTTAACCATAGGTTATTTGTCATCTGTTTTAAAGCAGGGTAAACATTATTGCATCTGTTTATTTATTAGCTCTCTATAATGGTATAACAACATTACCACAAAAATAGTGGCTTAAGAGAACACACAGTCACTATCTTACCATTTCTGTATGTCCGGAATGGATATAAGCTGAGGTGGGACTTATGCGAAAGGATCTCACATAGCTGGTGTCATCTCAGCTTTGACTGAGGGGCCACTGTCAGGCTCAGTTTGTTGGCAGAACTCAGTTCCTTGTGGGCTGCTGGGATGGAGGGTTTTAGTTTGTTGCTGGCTGTCAGCCTGAAGTTGCTTTCAGTTCCTTGCTCTGAGGTCCTTTCCATGTGACAGCTCAAAAATTTGCTGCTTGCCTCTTCACAGCTAGAAAGAGAGCCTCCCCCAAGGCAGGCAGTGGGGTTTTGTGTAGTGTAGTCACATGCACATAATTACTCTGTCTTATGGTTAGAGGTAAGTTGCAGGCCTCACCTAACTACACACCCCGTGGGAGGTGATCACAAAAGGGATGGATGCCAGGAAATAGGGACCTTGCTTGCCAACCCAATGTTGACCACAACTTATTTGCTATATGTTTAGATGGAATACATGTTAATCTACTTCAGTCATTTTTGCTACTTGTTTAGACTAATGATAATTTTGGTTTTTTAAATTTTCTATTCAGATTCCATTGGCCATGACATTCCTAAAATGCTTGCATTATTTAAAAATGGACATGAAATTAAGGTAGATGAAGAACGGGAGAACTTTCTCACAACCAAAATAGCAACAGTAAGTTACAATGAAAATGATTAAATAATCTGCTTTTCTTTTTTGTTAAACTAATTCATGAATAATTTATAAAATACATTTGAACTTTCTTTTGGATCTAGCATTAGAAGTGGTACTAAATATATAGAGTCTGCCAAAAAGATGTATACATACTTCAAGAGGAGAAAAATAGTATAATATTTTTTCAACAGACAGTGTTACCCTTATATGGGGGGACCCTACAGGATGCTGTATATCACAGAAAATCCACTACACTGCCAGCCCTTAGAGAAGAAATTGAAAATACATGCACAGTAATCTCAATGACCAAGTTTACCCAAGCAGCAGTTTACCATACTAATAAATGTCTGAAAGCCAGTGGCCATCACTTAGAGCACCTCTTGTAATTTTAAAGGCCAAAGGTAACTTGTATTAATCTCATGATATCTCAAGAAATTTAGTATTAAAATATGTATATAAGTTTTTCTTTTCCTGAAGTGTGTGTATACATTTTTGGCAGACTGTGTGTGTGTGTGCGTGCATGCATGTGTGTGTGTGTCTATAAATTTTCTTGTTCTATAGATTCAACTCATACATTTTATTGGTACCCGAGAATTTCTTCCTTCTAAAATTATGTGATACTTATTGACATTTATGTGCCTTATTTATCTATTCTAAGTATGTATTTTTTATTATCTGATATTATTGAGAGAAGGGTATAGATCTTGTATATCCTATAGAGCATACAATGCTGAGCATGTAGTAGGTATTTAGAAATACTTAATGGAGTCAAGTAATTTGATTTATTTTCATGAATTGTCTGATTCTGATTTAAAAATTGTACGTCTTTTTGTAGATGCTAAAAGTCAGTTTTCACTTCCATTTTTAGTACACTAATATGTCAGCATTATAGAACTATGTGTTTAAATATACAGATAGTGAAAACAGTAAAGTTATTTTCCAATATATATTTTTATACTACAGAATCTCGAAAGTGCCTATCAAGCAAAATTTAAGGGGGTGAGGGAGGGCAGGGGTATGGGGAAAAAAATAAGAACCAAGACATACCATGTAAAGGTACAAGAGCCCAATGATAAATGTAACTGTATTGTTTGCTTTAAATATACCAGTAAACATAATGGGGAAAAAAATAAGAGAATGAAGTAAATGGTGTCTACCAAGTGTCCGGTGATATTGTAATTATGTTTTGTATGTTCTTTCTTTTAATTCTCAAGCATATGAAAAGTAAAATTTTATCCTCATTTTATAGATGGAAGTATGCAAGCATAGAGAGGTTAAAAACTTTACAAGAAAAATAAAACTTTTCCAGTCTCACAGCTAAAATGAGGCTGAAATAGGTCAGTATTTGAACTTTGGCAGTATTCTCAAGTATCCAGCCTCTTTTTCCCAAGCGATCTTGCTTTATGGCTGTAATTATTTTTGTTATTCTTTCTCTTCCTCTTCTATCCTTAAGAGGAATTCTGCATCATAACCAGCAGCTAGTACTCCGAGCTAATCGAGCTGTGTTTGCTGTAGATCATCTGAAATATAGAAAAAGCACTCATCTAGCTTTATGGTGAGAAAACTTGCCTTAGAAAGGAAGCACAGCAAGTTTACTGCAACCAAGGATTGGGAAATACCTACTTACCACATTATTGTCAAGGCTCAGCTTTGACTTACTTGACCTGAGCTGTGCTAGAATCTGGTGTTGAAATTTTCTTGTTCCCCAAAGTCCTGGGCAGTGCTTTTTATTTCTTACAGTTGACAATACTCTAATCTAACAAACAACCAAAAATCCAGATTCAAATTTTAAGAGACTATTCTGGAGCTGTAGAGACTTAAGTTTGAGTACCTGTTCTAGGTAAGGGATGACAGACTTCAAGCAATTATGGCTATGCCTCAAATTTCCTCATCTATAGAATGTGTATAGTAATACCTATTTTATAGTGTGGTTCTGAAAATCAGATAAAATTTTTAAATGGTAGTATTCGTTGGTGCCATTGCTTTGCTTGACTTGACTATAGAATATCCTTATAATATTCTTTATTAAAGATATATTTTCAATATATTCAGTAGTTAATGGTTTATATACTTCCTGATTTAAAGTGTAAGAAGCCATGACATCTTATTTATTTTTTTCAACAAATACTATAATGATTAAAACATGGGCTCCATGCTTGGATATTTTGGAGACCAAGATTTTTTTCCTCAATGAAAAAGAAGTTAATTTATATGTGTAAAGAGAATTGTTTTAAATACTGAAGTATTATGGTATAGTAGGAGATTAAGTATAGATTTTAGGTTCATGCTGTTGTGTTTCTAATCATAGTTTTGGCTTAGAAAGAAATGCATCACCTTGCTTTCTGAGCCCATTTTTCTCCATTTACCATTTTCCCATATATAAAATGGTGATAATGATAAGTACTACTAGGGTAGAAAGGAGTAGGATGAGATAACATAACAAATATGTGGTTTAGATGGAGTAACAGGGACCTAATTTACCTTCCCACCTAAAACAGTGAACATTATCTTCATACCAAAACCAAAGTAAACTACCATGCAACATCATTCATGAACATAGAAGTAAACATTTTAAACTAAGTTTAACAAATCGAATCCTGGATTGTATAAAAAGGATAATATATCTTGATTGCCTTAGCCAATTTTCTCTTGCTGTACCAGAAAACCTGAGGTTGTATGATTTATAGAGTAGAGGTTTATGTTGGTTCATGACCTGGAAGCAGGGAATTTAAGAGCATGGTGGCAACTCTGGAAAGGTCCTCAAGCTGCATTGTAACATGGCAGAAAAATGCAAAGGCAGTCAGGCATGTCGAAGAGACACAAAACACAGGAGGAGCTGCCTTGCCTTACAAGAACTTCTCTCTGAAGAACCAATCCATTTCTGTGAGAAAGGTGTGGATCACTCTTAACCTCCTAATCATGTCTTTCAGGCCCCACCTCCCAACTCGGACACAGTAGCAGTCAAATTTCAACATGGTTTTTGGATGGGACAAACCACATTCAAACTGTAGCAGTAACCAAGTAGGGTTTATCCTAGGATTGCAAGTATAATTAACATTCAACAATCAGTTGTAATTCTTACTCCGAAATACTTTGAATTTTAGTAGATACAGAGAAAGCTTTGACAGGATCCAAATACTGATTTAAAAGTCTCAACAAATTTGAAGTAGATGTTAGTATTCTTAGGCTGGAGTGCTGCTCACTGATACAGCATGTGCCTAGCATATGTGAGACCCTGGGTTTAATAGCCGACACCCCTCTCAAAGTCAGTATCCTTAACCTGATAAAGGATATTTAAGAAATACCAACCACTGATACCATACTTAGTGATAGAATACTGAATGTTGCTTTCCTCCTAAGATCATAGATTAGACTGTCTGTCCTTACTGCTTTCTGTTCATTATTGGTCTGGGATATTTTTAGGCAGAGTGATCAGGCAAGAATCAGAGGTAAAAATGTATCTAAAATAGAAAGGAAGAAGTGAAACTCATTATTTACTGATTATATGATCTAGCTAGTAGAATGAAGAAATGAATTAAGTATGGTTGAAGATACAAACTCCTATATAAAAATCATTTGTATTTGAACAGCAGCAAACAGTTAGAAATTGAAGTTTAAAAACAAGGAATGCCATTTCCAATCATATCAAAACTGTGAAATAGAATAAATTTGACAAAAGATACGAATGACCTGTACACTGAAAACTTCAAAACATAGGTGAAAGAAATTAAAGATCTAAGTAAACAGTAAGGTTTAACTTTGTTCATGCATCAGTAGACTAAATATTGTTAAATGTCAGTTATCCCCAAAGTGATCTATAGGTAGACTCATTGCATTCTCAAAGTCCCAGTCAGCTTTTTCTTCTGGAAACTGACTAGCAGATTCTAAAGTTCATATGGGAATGCAAAGGATCTGAAACAGCCAAAGCAGCTTTGAAAACTAACAAATTTGGAAAGCTACCTTATTTCCAGATTTGTAAAGCTGTAGCAATTAAGATAATGTATTGATGTTAAGAGATAAAGCAGCCAGTGGCATAGAGTAATAAAAAGGACAAAAGACTGTATGGACAACTGATTTTCAAAGGCATAAAGGCATTTTTAGTGGAAAGGCAGGCATAGTCTTGTCAATAAAAGGTACCAAAATAATTAAATATTTATATGCAATAAAATGAACTTTGACCCATATTTCAAGCTATATATAATAATTAGCTCAAATGTATGAAGAACCTAAATGTAAGGCCTAAAATTCTAGTACTTCTAGAAGAAAAAGTTGGGTTGGGAAATGATTTCTTAGATATGACACCAAAAATATCCATGGAAGAATAAATTGATAAAATACCCTTTAAAAAATTTTAAAAAGCTTCTTATCTTTAAAACAGTTTTAAGAGAATAATATGACAAATCCCAGATTACCAAAAAATATTTGCAAATTATATATCTGATAAATCCAGAATACATAAAAACACTCCAAACTCAATAATGCTACCCAAATTAAAAAAAAATTTGCAAAAGATTTGAACATACTTCATCAGGAAGATAGAACAGATAACACACACAAAAAGAGACTGTCCAGCATTGTCATGAGGGCAATGTAAGTTAAAACCACAGGGAGCTATTACTACTCATCAATTACAGTGAATAAAATTAAGATTAACTATACCGAGTATTGGTGAGGGTGTGGAGGGACTGGACCACTCATACACTGTTTAGCAAACCATTTGGCAGTTTCTTAAGTAGTTGAACATCCACCTACTATATAGTCCCACTGTTCTGCTTTTAGTATTTCCCAGGAGAAATGAAAACATATGTTTTTGTATAAAAATTTGCAAACATGTTCATATCACATTTTTTAATAGCCCCAAACTGCAAACACTTAATACCCATCACACGTAAATGTATAAACAAAAACAATCTTCAGTAATAATAAGAAACTTGATAACACTATATACACTAATGAATTTTAAGATAATTGTGATGAGTGAAGAAAAGCTAGAAAAAAGA